GAGCAGCACTGTGGCGTGAAGGGACCTGTGTGTCAAGAAGTGTGGAGTTGGAGCTCGCGGAGGATGGTTGGGAGCCCTGAGAGCACAGTGACCACAAGAAGGTCAGCCTGAGGAGAAGGGGAGACTTCAGGGACATTGCTTAGAGACCAGAGCCATATCTGACACCCTTTCTAACTTCTGAGTCTCTCCCTGTCACATCCTTGCCTCTCACCAGCCCTACTCAGCTGTCCCCACAATCTCTTTTTTTCCCCCATTCACTCCTTCATCTGCTGCAGAGGGCTCACCGTCCTCCCGTTCCAAAGCCTGCGGCTCCTCTCTCCCCACACCACTCCCCCCTCTGCTGTCCCCACAGTCACCAGTGTCCCCTTTATCCAGTTGTAGTCTTCAGTCTTTGTGGCACTTTTGACTACTATCTCCCCCTTGAAGTATCTTTTGAATTGGTAATTGATTTATGCTTCAAACCCAGAAATAAAAGGCAGAGTCTTTCCCATCCTTGTCTTTCATTTCTCCACAGGTAGCCACTGCTCTTAGTTTCTTTATGTATCCTTCCAGACATTCTTTATGCATATATCAACAAACACAAATTTATGTTTAGTGACAAATAAGGCTATAGTTTCTTTTTTCCCGCCTTTCCTAACACAAACAGTAGAATATTATGTATACTGTTCAGGTCTGTGTTTTCTTCATTTACCAAGTGAAAAAAAATACACATGCATAGGTGCCGGGTTTCTCACAGGCCTCGGATACTTACCATGCTCCAACTACTCATTACTTCCCACACTTGCTTCTCTCTTACATCCTTTGACCCTATTGGTGGTGGTGGCAGTAGGGAGGGGTTGTGGCCATTCATCTAGTTACTGCAGCCAGAAACCTGAGAGTCAGCTCTGACCATTCCCCCAACATCATCCAGAATATCCGCAGGCTCATCATTTCCTTTTCTTCATTCCTACCACCACTGCCTGAATTGGAGAATTTGTCCTTTAGGAATTCTTCACCAAAAGACTCCTTCTGATTCACCCAGTTGTTCTTTATTCCCATAGCATCCTATAGACACCCATACCGCTGAACTTGCCATTATGACTGCTCTGTTCTCTCACTAGACTGTGGTCCCCTGAGGGCAGAGATGTATTAATTCATGCTTTACCCATAGGAACATAACAGATGTTAAAAGAACACAAGAGAGAACAAGAGGTGCGCAGAGAAGAGTTCACTTGGTGAACTGTTTAGTGACTGTTTATATGTATTGACAGTGAAAGAGACTGTGAAGGAGGCTGTTCCTTCAAGGATCCTGGATCTTTGAATTGGAGGCAATGAACAGAGACCCAGGTTCTAGGCAAAAGAGCAGGTTTTCATTTTTTAGATCTGGCAATTTGTGAGATACACATTCAACAGTTCTGTGTATGCTTTGGTGGGCCACATACTTGGATATAGGTCAGTCAGAGCTCAGAATAATATGGAGAAGTGAGTTCAGAGAGTTATACACACAGAGGGGCTGAAGTCAGGGTGTGAAGACATCACCTAAAGGTAATCTGTAAGTGAGAAGATGGGTAAAGAGAGAATCTTGGATGACATGACCATCATTTGGAGCACAAGAGAAGGAAAAGGAGCAAGTGAAGGATAAAAGATCAAGGAGTGGTGGGTGTCCCAAGGAGAAAAGGGTTTCAAGCAGATGGGGCAGGGGCGGCCATATTAATTAAGGCCAAAATGTTCAGTAAGATGAAGACAGAGAAGTAACGATGGGATTGAACACCTTTGATTTCTTTGGTGATGAGAGCAATGCCAATGTTAGTACAGTGGCAGGTCAAGAGGTAACTCTTGGGGGGAGCAAAGCAAGGCCTGGAATTTGGAGGATGCGTCTAAGAGGCTTGCTTGTAAGAGAAGAGGCCCATAGCCATGGAGGGATGTGGAGTCAACGCAAGCTTTTATTTTGGAAAATTTCAAATTATAGGCAGACTCCATATTCATTACTGAATAGTATGACAGTACATGAGGGTATTAAAAAGCCAGAAAGATCATGTGTAATCTTACCACTCTAAACACTCCTGCTATTTTTAACCATTCCCTTCCAGTCTTTTCCATGCATGTTCACCAAGTTAAAAAGAGACCATGTTAGAGATTTCACATCCTGCCTTTTGCACTTACAGAGGACTGGCTTTAGCATCTGTCCCTGCATTAATTACCAGGGTGGAGTTGTCAGAACTAATTGGCTAGACCTTTTTCTTCCCTCACCGCTCCCTGGGTATTTCTCCATATGGAGTTATTTAATTAGACAGAGATAAAACCTCTCACTCATTCATTCAACAAATATTTGTTAGCTGTCCACCTCGTGTACTGCATTACTTGCTGAGGGCTGGGGCAGTGAAGCAGACAGACACTTAGCTCATGATGCTCCAATAGTGTCACTTGCAGAGGGACCTCCACTTCATCCTCTGGTATACACCCATTGCACTCCCTGGCTCGATCCTACCGACAAGCTGTCAATTTGATTTGTATAACTTTCCCACTTGATATTTCCCCCAACATTAGAAACTCTTCAGAAATCTTCTCTTACTGTTAAGTATTTAGTTTCTCTTTTCACATTTCTCCTTGTAATGACACTGACAGAAATACCTTTGAAATTAAGCTTGGTCCATATTTTGTAGAACTGATTTCTAGAAGAGGACTTAATCTGGTAAAAAGATCTGAACTTTTTAAGGCACTCAGATACCTATTGTCAGATTGCTTTCCAAAGAGGCTCTACTAATTTATACTCTTTAACAGTGGTGGATGAAGGTACCTTTTTCACCTAAGAGAAAGTTCATTTGTTTATGTATTAAGTTGACTCAACCAGTGTAAAGAGAAAGGTAGAAGGTAGAACGATGGACCAAGTTCCCAGAGAAGTAGTACTGATTAGATCTGGAGTAGATGCTAGGAGGTAGTTTTGTAAAAGAAAGCTCTCCTGCTGAGATAGGAGTTAAGGAAGGTGCTATTACAGACAGTGTTCATATCTGTGTTGAGAAATGGGGAGCTGAGGGAGTTTCTAGCTGATGGCCTCCATTTTCTACGTACGCTAGGAAGCGAGAGCATCTGTGCAGGAAGGAGTAGGGTAAGTGAATTAGTCTGATAACTGGGGAGAATGAAGATGGTTTGGAAGGGCTGTGTAGAAAATGCGACACCATCTAAAAGGTGCAGTTGCCCAGATAGTGGCACATTTTGTTTATAATTGTAAATGAAAACTTGATCATTGATGCTAGGACTCTGTTTACAGGGTATAGTGAAACTGAGAATTGGTGATTATTTGATTAATTTGATGAATGTTCCAAATTAGGAATACCAGGTCAGGGTATGTTTCCGACCTAAATTATACAACGCAGTTGTCTGCAGTGATCAAATTAACCAGCTGATTGCCAAATCTCTATTTCTCTCTGTCCCCTGTGGACATAGCCTAAAGGACTAATAAGTGAACTGGACTCTGCCCCAATCTATTTTGGGATAATTGATGTCTTTGTACTTGTATCCCAGCAGCTTGGTATTAAACACTGAAGCTTTGTGGAGAATATGTTAGTAGGCAATTTACTACCTCAAAAAGCAGTCTTTCTCTTAAAAAACTTATCAATCAGAACTTTGGAGGGAATTTTCCAAACTCCCTAAGGAAAATTATATTTATTGCTATGGAAAAATATTTGATTCTATGCATTTTGCTTCATAAAATAAATTTGTTTCAGATTCTGAATGCTTATTTATGATTTTTATTTCTGTCTTCATGAACCACTTCAAAGCAATTTCAGTTTTAAGTTTAAGTGGTCTTTATCCTTAAAAATATTTATATTTATTGAAAGTTAGATTTGTTTTTTTCCCTAAATGAAAAGTATCAATGGTTTTAACCTCTTAAAGAATAAGGGGGAAAAAAAAAAAGAATAAGGAAAATCAATTATGGTGAAGAAACATTTCATTCCTTAATGTTTAAATATTTCTTTCCTAAATTGGTGGTTGATGTAACACAGACTATGAAATGTATGCAGCCAGTTACTAAGGTAACTTGGCCTCTGAAACCCATTTTGTGAAATAGCAACGTAATTTGAATATTTTTGGAATTGACCTCAATATTTAGGTTTCCTTTGTATGTTTTTATTTTTAAGATTTTATTTACTGGGGCGCCTGGGTGCTCAGTGGGTTAAAGCCTCTGCCTTCGGCTCGGGTCATGATCTCGGGGTCCTGGGATCGAACCCCGTGTCGGGCTCTCTGCTCAGCAGTGAGCCTGCTTCCTCCTCTCTCTCTCTCTCTCTGCCTGCCTCTCTGCCTACTTGTGATCTCTGTCTGTAAAATAAATAAATAAATAAAATCTTAAAAAAAAAGTCAGTTGTTATTAAAAAAAAGATTTTATTTACTGATTTGAGAGAGAGAGAGAGAGTGCAGGAGCAGAAAGAGAAGGGCAGAGGGGAGAGGGACAAGCAAACTCACCGCTGAGCTGGGGGTGGGGGAACTGACTCGGGGCCATCATGGGGCTTGAACCCAGGACCCTGAAATGATGACCCGAGACAAAGTCAGACACTTAGCTAAGTGAGTCACCTGGTGCTCCCCACCCTTTGTATGTTCTTAAACAATGCTGTGACATGTCATTTACATATGCATGAAAGCCAAGGTAACAAGTAGTTACTCCAACTCAGATTCTTCCCTTAAGAGACTCAGCCCACCTCCCCTTCTCCCAAGTATTCATCACCCCATAGGGCTGTGACAGCATGGGTGGATGATGAGAGATAGCCTAGCGAAGATTTCTCTGCTCTCAAAGAACTTAACAACCTGTTGAGGTTTGCTAGCAGACCAAACTCTAACAAACAATAATTTTGCTTCAGTTTGAATATTGTGCTGATTAAAATATGGCCATTTATTCTGAGAATAGCTTTTGGCATTAGAGATTTGTCATGTGCTCTTACCAATTGTAAAATGGATAAATAAGCAAAAACTCAAAATGGCAGAATTATATCCTTTTGCATTTGGATTTTACTCTGTTCCTCGTCCAGGTCTCAGGATTGACAAGAATGACAAGTTGGGCTTGGCCTATTTATTTCTACAGCAGCCTGAAAGGAATGTGTCCAATTGAGGATACCTGAGGACACCTAGTCTCCCTCAGCTTCGGACTCCCACCCAGAGGGGAGAGTTTCCAGGTCGGAGGAGCCCATAACCCAGTTTTTTGTTTGCTCATTTTTGTTTTTTGAGAAACTCGAAATCTAGACTTTTTATAGGAAATCTGTGATTTCTAAATATGGGTGCCTCATACATATGTGTTGGCCTGTGGCACTGGGCCTAGTTCAGCCTGAAGACATTGGTCTGTGACCTTTGGCCAAATGGTTTCCAAGCTCTGATTTTCTACGTAAAAAGTCAGACCTCACCGTTCTCTTTAGAGGTCAAACAATGCTTGTGTCACACAAAGTAGAACACGCTCCTTTTCATTATTACATCTGCTCAGACTTCTTTTTCAGTTTTGAATAAATTAGAGGAGAACTGTACTTGATTAACAAAAAAAAAAGACTTGATTAAAGTTCAATGAATTACACTGTTTTATTTCCATTTTTTTCTGGTAAGATTATACTGTCAGAAAGCATTTGATACATAGTCCATGGCATTTTTTTCTCAATGAACATATACGGTGGTTTTTTATTTGCCAATTTCCTTGTTGTTTTAGTTAAAAAGAAAGGAAATAACTTATTTTGGGTAGTATCTATCTAAGGAGTAGTTAACTAAACTATGTGAAATTTTACAAAATGAGATCTTCATTTATCCGGGGAGGTGTAACACTTGCTGTAGGAGGGAAAGTCTCTTTGATTAGGTGTTGAGTAAAATGATTTTAACAGTAGGATCAAATTATGGTAGAATGGACTCCAATCTCCAATATAACTCTCCTCTCTGAACCAATTCAGTTCCTTAACTGATCTTGTCAAGGACATAGCAAGAGTTGTATTTGTTTCAGGTAGTAAATACCTTAGTATATTTGTTTCTCTCTTCATGCTTTGAAGTAGTACAAAGCAGTTGTGGTACATGTAATAAACTTCCATTTATATTAGAATGATACAAAATTAGGTGTGCTGGTGAATGAAATCTGCTTTACTGACTTTATTTAAAAATAAACATTTATTGAGAAGTTATTATTATATTGAGACGAAAAGATAAATCAACAAAATAACTAATAGTCGTGCAATTTATAGCACATGTATGATAATTAAAATTATATTTTCTCTCCTCTTCCCTCTTGCTGATAGCAAACTATTTCAGCTGGCATTATTTGGAAGTAAGAGAGATAGGAAAAGTACTTTGTGGGAAGCTCTTCTTTCCTTTCTAAGCCTCCTGAAGTCTGTAGTCTTCCATTGACAGTTGGAGACTCATTTATAGGCTTATAAGGGTGTCCTGAGAAAGTCTTCATGGAAAGTTTGAGGAGTGTTATTGCAGGTGTCAAATTATTTCATTCTGGGTACAGAAATTTATATAACACTAAAGCAGTGAAAAGAAAACCAGTGACTAAATTCTTATAATAAAATTAAAAAATCTTACTGCTCTGTTGATTGAATTTAAAATATTTGCTTAGACTATTGTGTGATTTTTAATTCTCCAGTCAGCATTTCAGTGGTGAATACAGAAGAAAAATTAGTGCAGATCAAGTAACATGGAGAGAAAAAAAGAGACAGCACTAGATACCGAAGCAGACAACAGGAGGAGAAAGCTCAGATCTTGGCAAAAACCGCATTACCCAATGGTAAGTCTTGCCCACAATACTCTGTAATAGTGAACTCTTATATGGCACTTAGTAGGTGCCAGGCTGTTCTAAAACTTTATATATATCACAGATGGATGCATAAAAAAATAGATATACAGATAGACAAGAGAATTTAATAATGTCCATTTTAGCATTAAAATCTCCATTCAGATGTCATTGAAAAGAGAAATCTCAGTTCTCAGGAACTAGTAGACATTTGGTTACCAAGCCAGTGCCTAGATGGAGTTAACCAGTAAGCATCCTCAGGCAAGACTGCCAAATTTCACCTGGTTCAAATCCATTGGCCATTAAAACTGTTCAGAAATGATTAATCTTTGCTATAGCATAAAACACATTGTCTTGCAATGTCAAGGGTTGCCAATATGAATAATTATCATCACAGTGCTGTACCACACAAAGTAGTCATTTAAGTTTTTTAGACTTTTGAAACTAGGGAAGTGGTTTTTCACCTTCCCTTATTGGTTATCTAAGATGTGTGTCCATGTGTGAGTGTCTCTGTATATGTATGTGTACGTGTTAACATGTATTCTCATGCATATGCCCGTGTGTACATGTTTACATGTAATTGATGACTTTGCCCAAGAGATAAAGATGAGAAAATTGCTGTATGGTCTAAAATCAATCAAAACTTGCTGTTGGCTTGTAGACAGAGTGCTGATAAGAAAGCTGGATTTTTTCATGGCTAAAGTACCCAGAACAGGAGGAGGGAGGTAAGCCTACATGTGGAGATCCAAAGGTTCTAGGTGTGGTGGAAGGAGAAATGCAGAGACCAAAAGCCAGGCAAGGTGTGACATTTCAGGTGTAAGAGTGAATGACAGCGGTGAGTAGCAGGGGTGGGCAAAAGTTCTGGAAGGTGGAAGAGTAACAGTAGGCAAAGAGGGAAATAGAAGCGATTGACTGGCATGACCTTCCCATGCATCAGATTTGCGTTGTGTTCCTGGATCTTTCCTCATTCTATTCTTGATCCTCTCAGGGCTTGACTAGATAGATATTGGACCAAGTGATCCCGAGAACCCTCAGGTGCAGATTTTGAAGCCAAACACTATGAGGTGGATAACTTTATGAAGTAGACATTCACTATACATTGAATTGGATATTTGGACCATATTTTAATGTGTGGTCCTCCTTTCTCTGTTTTCCTCCTTGTGTTTACACAAAATTACAGAGAGCTAGGGATTGTATTTTTTTAAATAAAATTTTTTATATAAATTTAAATAAATTCTTCCAGATTTTGAAGCCTAGGTGCTTCAAATAACAACTACAAGTGTACCAGGAAAATTTATACATTAAGTCACTAGTTCAATAAATATTTTCTTAGAATTTGTGCTAAGCACAAAGGACATGGCTATGGAGAGGTTAAGGGGCCTGTCCTCATATGGTTTACAATCTGGTGGAAAAGGGTTAACTTTCTATTTCTCTTCTTCCACAGGTCCATCATGCACACTATTTGAATCAAACTTGCATGTTTCTGACTCACTCATCCAGTAGGGAAAATTCAGAAATTCATTTGGGAGTAGCAATATTAAAATATGAATTTGTCTCTGGATCCAGTCAATCATAAAATTCCCAAATGTAGTGTCTCTTTTGACAATGGGATAGGTTTTCAGGACGAGACGTCCATCTTGATAAGCCCATAGGCAGTGACTCAAGACAGTGTCCTTCATATTTATGGGGGATCATAAATGTTACTTTATTTCCCCATCTTTAACACACTCCACTTAATGAAGGGATACTTTGATAGCTAAAACAAAATTACTTCCACATATACATCGCCTCTCATAAAAAGTTTGAGTCATTTTTTGTCAAACAGCTTTCTTCCTCCTTCCTTCCTTCTTCCTTCCTTCCTTCCATCCTTCCTCCTTCCTTCCTTCCTTCCTTCCTTCCTTTCTTTCTTCTTTCTTTCTTTCTTTCTTTCTTTCTTTCTTCTTTCTTTCTTTCTTCTTTCTTTCTCTCCTTCTTTCTTTCCCTTTCTTCCTTCCTTCCTCCCTCCCTCTCTCCCTCCCTCTTTCTCCTTCCTCCCTCACTTCTTTCTTCCCTCCCTCCCTTCCATCCTTCTTTCCTTCCTTCCCTCCCTCCCCCCCTCATTCCATCCCTCCCTTTCTTCCCTCCCTCCCCGCCTCCCTCCCTTTCTTTCTTTTAGGTTTATATATTTATTTGAGAGAATGGGTACAAGCAGCGGGGAGAGACAGAGGCAAAGGGAGAGGATCCTCAAGTAGACTCCTTGCTGAGCATGGAACCAAACTGACACAGGGCTTGATCCCAGGACCCAGGATCATGGCCTGATCTGAATTCAAGGGTCAGAGGCTTAACTGACTGAGTGACCCAGGTGCCCCTCAAAAAACTACATTTCTCAATAATAAAAGTAAATTATAGAAAATTTAGTTTTGAGGCAGGATAACAAAGAAATATAAGGCAGTTTTTGAAATCAAAGGAGATTTTCTTGTTTCTGTCTCTTGACCATGGTCTTCAATCCAAGCCCTTACTTTAAAAAATCTTAGAGAACACATGACCAGTTTTTTTAAAAATAATTTATTTTTATTTTTTTTATTAACATATAATGTATTATTAGCCCCAGGGGTACAGGTCTGTGAATCGCCAAGTTTACACACTTCACAACACTCACCATAGCACATACCTTCCCCAATGTCCACAACCCAACCACCTTCTCCCTCACCCCCTCCCCCCGCAGCAACCCTCAGTTTGTCTTGTGAGATTAAGAGTCTCTTATGGTTTGTCTCCCTCCCGATCCCATCTTGTCTTATTTATTCCTTTCCTACCCACCAAACCACCCACGTTGCCTCTCAACTTCCTCATATCAGGGAGATCATATGATAATTGTCTTTCTCTGATTGACTTATTTCACTAAGCATAATACCCTCTAGTTCTATCCACGTCTTTGCAAATGGCAAGATTTCATTTCTTTTGATGGCTGCATAGTATTCCATTGTGTATATATACCACATCTTTATCCATTCATCTGTTGATGGACATCTAGGTTCTTTCTATAGTTTGGCTATTGTGGACATTGGTGCTATAAACATTCGGGTGCACGTGCCCCTTCGGATCACTACATTTGTATCTTTAGGGTAAATACCCTGTAGTGTAATTGCTGGGTCATAGGGTAGCTCTATTTTCAACTTTTTGAGGAACTTCCATACTGTTTTCCAAAGTGGTTGCACCAGCTTGCATTCCCACCAACAGTGTAGGAGGGTTCCCCTTTCTCCCCATCCTCGCCAACATCTGTCGTTTTCTGACTTGTTGATTTAAGCCATTCTGACTGGTGTGAGGTGGTACCTCATTGTGGTTTTCATTTGTATTTCCCTGATGCTGAGCGATGTGGAGCACTTTTTCATGTGTCTGTTGGCCATCTGGATGTCTTCTTTGCAGAAATGTCTGTTCATGTCCTCTGCCCATTTCTTGATTGGATTATTTGTTCTTTGGGTGTTGAGTTTGATCGGTTCTTTATAGATTTTGGATACTAGCCCTTTATCTGATATGTCATTTGCAAATATCTTCTCCCATTCAAGACATGACCAGTTTTACATGAATTACTAAAAGACCATTTCCATCTCCACTCAGTTAAAAATCTACATATAGTTATTAATAATGATTTATAACTCTAAAGTACATTTTTCTGGTAGTACCCAAGGTGCTTTTAAGAGACAAGTAACATTCTAAAATCTGAGGAGCCCCTTATTAGAAAGGATTATAGTTTAAGAGACCAACCTGCCTTACCCTAGCTGCTCTCTGTTTTCTCTTTATGTGCATGCCTGATTTTTAAGGGGATCGGTTTGGGCAGAACGCTCGTGAGAATTGGCCAGCTTTTTTTTTTTTTTTCAAGGCCTCTCTAAACATAGCATGCATTATGATGATTCTTTCATCATCATTTGGGCCATATGACTCTTCTGTATTCATTGAACTAATAGTTAACTAATCTTTGGGTTCAAGAATTTCATTTAAAATGGCTCTGCAGATAGAAGGAGATGTTACCTGACATTTTTGTCACATTTCCTCCATTTCTGTTAGAAGTGCTCTTTCAAGGAATGACTCCAGGAGTGTGGGGAAATGTAAAATGAGCACTGGTGATGGAACGTATCATGACAGATTGAGAGAGGCCGGCCCTGACTCTGTGTTCTGCTTCGGCCACAACATGGTCAGGCAGACTTGGGCATACTTAACACTATTTTTTCCTAGCAACTCTTTTGGTTTATCTTGTCACTGTAGGTTTCTGAACTGGGGACCAGCTATGGCTGTCAGTGTATTTCAAGAATTTATTTCTGGGGGATGGGTAAATCCCTCCTAATCTCCACAAATAACATGCATAATTTTGTTTAAGGACATAATTTTTCCCCCTGGGTTCATAACTTTATTCAGAGACTCCAAAGGATCTGAGATCTTTAAAAGAACATTTAGAGGATCACTCAAATCTTTTCAGTAGTAACATTCTATGGCCATTGGCTGTCTGTCTATATGTGCATGCACGTTTTCTTCTAGACCATAAAACTGTGTTTAGCATACTTGAAGGAAAGATTCTGATCAGCATATTCAAGAACATGGCTTAGAAATTATGTTAGGAGACAAAAAGCTGGGGGTGCCTTGGTGGCTTAGTGGGTTAAGCCTCTGCCTTTGGCTCAGGTCATGATCTCAGGGTCCTGGGATCGAGCCCCACATTGGGCTCTCTGCTCAGTGGGGAGCCTGTTTCCACCTCTCTCTCTCTGCCTGCCTCTCTGCCTATTTGTGATCTCTGTCAAATAAAAAAATAAAATCTTTAAAAAAAAAACAAAAGAAGGCAGAAAGCTCTAATGCTAAGGAATCTTAGCCTGCAATTCCATCATACATAGCACATACAGGTATACACACACATATGTATGCATTTATGTATATACATATGTAAAAGTACCACATATATTTCATT